CAAGATTTGGATTCCTGTATCCCTGGGCTCAATATAATGACTGATTAAATTATTGCATTATTATAAACTATAAAATCATTTTATTGTTAATAATAGTCTCATATTAATTACTATGTTATTCTAGCCCTTACTTATAATCCTCCTTCCCAAATCTCTGGCTCTGATTGCCATTCCTGTAGGAATCCTTAGTCTCCTAATGGAACAGATTGTAAGGCCCCCAGGCAGGATGTGAGGAGATGGGATTAATGCATCCCCCCATTCCTGGTGCTCCCTGGAATCCTGCCCAGCTAGCAGCTTGTGAGCAAAGTCCTTCCCTTAATGATGTGATTCACCTTCGGGCAACTCCTCCTCCTCCTCCTCCCTGCTGGGGGCTCAGTCCTCAGTTGCTTCCTCAAAGAGTTGCCTGCATCAAAGTAGCTACTGTTTCCAGCATCTTTCTTTCAGATTCCTTTTTGTTCTTTGTTTTTGATCCGACATATGCTGGGGGGCCGGGCTTTTGTCTTTCAGCTTGTGAGTAAATGGGAGCACTTAGGAAGGTGGCGGCAGCCAGGCCTAATTAGTCTCTTGTTCTTCTCTAACTGGGAGCTGGAGGGGTCAAGTGGTTCAGCACCAACAAGTAGCCTGAGGCCTGGTGAGCAAAACTCGACTTGGAGTCTGAACACCTGAGTGTCAACCTTGGTCTTTCCTTGGTCTTTCCTTGGTCTCCAAAGATTAATAAAATCACATCTGTGACCTTGAGATGACTGCAGAAATGTAAGATGTAGACATGAGAATACCTACAAGTGGTGGTGGAGGTGGCATTCGGCAGAGTCTTAAAGGATTAAGTAAGAGCTGGTGGAGTGGGCCCTGGGAGTGGGTCCTTGAGCCATGGGCAAGGCCTAGAGGCATAAAAGAGCGTGACTTTCTCAGAGAACTAAAAATTATCGGGTATTGCTGGAGCAGAGAGTTAGGAGAGAAACGGAAGATGGGGCCGGAGATGTGGTAGGCAGGGGTCAGATCATGGAGAGTTTACAAACTACACTAAGAAGTTGAGAAATGGAGAAATTGCAGGCAGATTTGTTTGTCAGTTAACAATTATCTCAGGAGCCAATGAAGAAAATGGCTTAAAGGAGGACCTGATGAAGGAGAGACCAGTGAGGAAAGTGTG